GAGCCAATGCATCCTCCATGGGCATATTACGGTGTACTACAGAGAAGAGAGATAGCTTGCTTTATCAGTCTTGTGTTCTCATCTACTTTACACATGTACAAAAAAAAAAAACACAGAAAAATATAGCTAAATAAGTTTGTGTGTAATCAACTGAGTGAAATTTTAAAAGGCTCCTTTTTTGAGATCAGTATGTCACTGTAATTATAGAGGTTAGCTTGATTCAATACACCTATCTGAAACATTGTTTAAATAAGTATTAAAACTGCTACCACCACAATTAAAAGATTTCAGACCACTTGTGATCTGAAAATTGAGATAAATGACTCTCTTTTGATACTTGAACATTTGCACAAACACCTAACTGAAACAAGAGGAACAGTATTAGCACAATTTTTTCTCTTAAATTCAGAACATATTTTACCTGAGTGGAGGGACAGGGCAGTTACTTTCCATTCAGAAGAAAGTGCCTTTTTACTACTGTGTTCCTAATAAGGGGAAAGATGTGAAATCTAAATTTAAAATAAAAAATTCTGGAAAACTGAAGACTTAAAGATGAATTTTAAATTGGACCTATCCATGTACAAACAATGTAAGAATAATAATTTTTAATCAAGTAATTTATATATAAACAGCCTCCATTACTTACTATACGCAATAGATTTTGTTGCCTGTATTTAATGCCATTTTGTAAGAAACAGTCCAGGACAAATGTTAATGTATTGTGAAATACTATAAATTAATTCAGTGAACTCTCTCCAAACTGTCTCATCTTAGCTAGGTCAAATTCCATTACCAAAAATTGTGATGAATCAGTGCTTAATATTTTAATGGGTTCAAGGAAAATTAAATTGCATTTTTGAGTGGGGACTATTTTAAGTGACATTCTAAATGAAGCTAAACTTACTTTTGATAGACTCATGAAGCATGATTGCGGTGCAAGAGGAAAGTGCTACATTTGACTGTTCAACAAGAATACAAAATGGGGAACCATCATTTTTAACTTCTTGGAGTGCGCGTGTGAGACCCAACTCAGATGTAAGGTATATCATTTCCACCACAAGGCCATGATCCTGCAACCGATGGCCTATGGCTGTTGAATATTCCCTTAAAGAGAAAAAAGAGGCTGGTTATTTACAAATACAAGTCTGTGCCGCTCTTAGTTTTTGCCATGCTCTTTGTTCGTGTACTGTATGCTCTGTATGTTACAGGTAACAAGGGAAGTGTAAGAAACTGTTCTCTTTCCACAAATGGCACATTCCTGAAAATTAGATGATGCTTTTAAGATGGCAGAAAGGAGTTATGATTGTTGGGCATGACTGGGGTTCTTTTTTGGCACATCCAATATTTTTGGAAAATAGGACTCTTAGGCATAACAAGTTGGGAACAACAAGTGATTTCTCCATAAATAGGAATTTTATAATTGAGGATCCCTGCACAGTCACGTGATTGAGTGGTATTCTTGAAAGTGTAATATTTTAATGAGTGAAACTATTTATATTTACCTTTTTATTTCTGCTAATCTGTCATCCCAGTATACTGTAGGCATGTTCAACTGAAACTAGTTTTCTATTTCCAAAACTGTACAGGTGATTATGTAGGTATTAGTGTTATTGTTTCAGTAAGTTTAAGTAGTTGGGCTTGTTTTTGGTTTTTTTCCAAGTGTTGGTGATAACAAAGCGGCATCAAGAGCTAAGTTCAATAGCACCTGTGCTCAGAAAACAGATAGAAAATATGGCACCACATGTAGATTTCTCCTTAGGTGCCTTCTGAATCTTACCAGCTTATTTTACCATTGGAAAAAAGTTTTGCTGCTGCCAGCACACTGGAGGCAACATGGGTAAAGAGAAGAGCAATGTCTGTTTGATTCTGCCTTATTGACAGAGCCGCTAACTAGGTTCCAGTACCCTGGAATTATTAGAGGCTCTTACATACAGTTCACTTTTAGCTTCATACAGACATTCAGTTTCTCCTGGGAGATTCACTGCTCTCCCAGAAGAAACCATGAGTGTACAGATATTCAAGCTTTGTCTCCCAGGGTAAATATGGCTGCTCCAGAAGAAAAATAACCTGGGAACAACCAGGGTTAAATCACTCTCCTGGTAGAGTGAATGTCTGTACATACCATGAATTCTCTCAGAAGAACACAGTCCTCCAGCATCCCAGCAGGGAAAGTGTGATGCTCACTGGACTCTGCTACTCCAGCAAGGAACAGAACATGTCTCCTTCACAACCCTCCTTATTGTGCTGTAGGGAAACACAGGCTGACCATGGGCAGTCTGGGTCAGCCACTCAGGGCTGACCCCTTTGCACTGCTGCCATTTGTTGCCAGGCCACAGAGCACATGGAGATGTGTGCATAGGGGCCCCTCCAGCTGCATAGTGTCAGCACAGCAAGCTCTTCACTTTTCAGGGCCTCAGCACTCAAACGTCTGTATATGTGGCTCTGGGTAACTATGTCTACCAAGAGAACAAACCTGGGAGAATTCTATGAGATTATTTGAATGTGTATGTAGCCTTTGCATGCATCAAATTAAACCTAATGTCTGGTAATGAGAAAAAAAAAAGTCAGTTCATAAACCTACTTTGAATTTTTTTTTTTTTTTTTTTAAATGAAGTATGATCATTGAACTTCAGGTGAATCAACCAAACAGATCAAGTTGTTTCTGCAGACAAAAGGTATATCAGCTACGGTGTTTCCATCCTGATTACAAGTCTCTCTGCTGTTGAATTACAGATCAGATATTTCACAGAGAAGCAATTCACGACACTGTGCTACATGGGGTACTGGCCGAGCATTTGCCAGCCACAACTGAGGTAATCAACCACCATAAAATCTTTGGCAAAATGCCATGAATTAAGAGATGAGCAAGACCTCTGGTGCAATCCAACTAATATCCGAGTATTAACAAGACTAGCATGTCAGATGGGAAGAGGGGAGGAAGAGAGAAGAAAGGGCATTGAATATTGTATTCACAGAAGCAGAATTCAACATTCTCAGGAGAAAAACAGCTTCAAAACTGTCCTCGACTGAGTTTGATATTCCACAACCAGAAAATGAGCAAGATACTGAAGCATGTAACGTTTATCATAACTACAAGTTTCCTCATAGTTAAGCCATTTAAAAATAACGTGGATAGTGATTTTTGTATGGAACACTGTATACGAAACATTCTGTGGAGGAAGAGGAAGGATAAATCTAGTTTTGAAGTAGTGATACTGAATATCATGGAAACATTAGAAATTAAAAGGCGCGCTTTTATGCACCTCCTGGTTCTCAAATCAACTCTATGGCAAAGAACAAGCTCTGTATATCAAGAATGATTAAGACTTTGATATTTGGCTTGATCCTCATCATCTCCAGGTGTATACTAGTAGTAATAAGAATTAATTAGCTGATATTTTTTTTTCAGTCTTCAGCCTCATTTAGCCTTCCTACCTAGTTACATATCCATTTTATAATATTCCAATGTTTTACATCACTTTTGCTAAAACACTGCTCTGGCATTTAAAGAGAAAGTGCAATACTTCAGTGCAAACCTTTGAAGAAATACTTACGAGAAGTGAAGAAAAATAATTGAGGATAAAATCAAATTTTGCTTCAAATTTAAATATACTAAAAGTCAGCATCTTTTCCTAAATACTGAATTTAAATTTTGCTGAAAATACCAACAAACTAAATGATAATTAAAACAGAAAAAAACCTATTTCAAGTTATTTTGTGCATTTGCTAGCATCTTATATATAGCAAGGTTTCCCTTTTGTTTGTGTAGGTCTCATTTGGCAGCTGTAAAGAAAAACAGTTTTCAAATTAGGAAAATGTATTTTTAACACATCAACAAATGCCAAGACAACTCAATGGCCAAGGTGACTCAAGCATTGCTATAAAAATGAGTTCAGGAATGAAGTCAATGAGTTAACTTTCTTTAAAAGGTTCTTCCAGGTGATACCATGCATTCTTAAATATGCAGTAATCCAACAGAAGTATAATTACTTTAGTCTGTACTTTCAACTACACAGAATATGTTAAGGAATTTCAAAAAGAAAAGTTTAAGCTTAATCTTCAATATTACCTACACCTTCAGTTCCCAGGAATAAAGCACTTACAGCTGGGTAATTCTTACCTATAGAGTAAAATTAGCCTAAACGTGTTAATAGAAACCTACGTTTGTTCCTTGCTGATGGCAACAATGACACAGTCAGCAGGTCTATTTTTATCATATTCTTTCTGTATCTGTTGGTAAAACTGCAGGTATAGCTTCTCCCTACGATCATCCCTGGTATAGTTGTCATCTGAAATCAAAGCACAAGTTGATTAAAAGGTAATGCTGACGGAAAGCCAATGTCAGAGCTTCAGTGCTGTTGAAAGATGAAAGTCCACTAAAAATAGTTCTTGCACAAGACATACATATTCATTTGTGTCACAGAGAAGACATAAGGCACAGGAAAGTTGTTTAACTAGGCTACAATTGACTAACAAGCCTAGGAATTATCCCATTTAGTGCAAGCAAGCCTTTTCTCTTTGATCTGTTCCACAGGGTTACAGCCTGGCCGGACCAACACTGGGCAAGAGCCACCTCCACACCCCAGTAGGCAGGACCCAGCATAGGAGGGCAGAGCGGGGCAGGGAGGCTTGATGCTACTGCCACCAACTCTGCTGCTGAAAGCACCACACCACCATGGCTGCCAAGGTGAGGCACCCCCTGCCCATCCAGCAGCAGCAGGGGGCACAACTCTGTGCTACTGCTACAGCGGTGCCTCACCTTAGCGGTCATGGCTGCATGCCTCTCCCTCCCATGCCAGGTCCTGTTCACTGGACCATGGAGACATTTCCTGCCCAGTGCCAATCTGGCTAGGTTGCAGCCCCATGCCCCACTGTGGGTGCAGAAATCTGTGTGTCTGGGGGGGAAGTGGCCCCCCCTGGCCCCACATACTGGAGCAGTGGGTCAGGAGTGAGAAGCACCAGCAGGGCTGGGGAGGAGCAATGGGTTAGGAATGAAGGTCACCAGCACAGCTTTGGGGGGGGGGGGGGGGGG